GGATTAATACAGATTGTGGTCTAGTATCTTCTCATTCGGATTGTTGTCAGGTACTGTTTTATTAGGAAGACGTGTTTCACAGGCATATGTCGGTCGACTGGCATTCTGGCCAATGAAATCAGTTTCAAGGTCAGACAAATTCTTCAAGGTTAAGTAAAATATATTATGGCGTATTTTACCGCGCCATCTTATAATTTAATCAGAGTGAATGCTCTGGTTATTTGTAATGAACAGATATATTAATGAATATGCATCGCTGGCACAACAGGAGCTCAAATGCCATGAAGCCGTGGCTTGTTTAAATGGCCCCATAGACAACTTAGAGGAGGGGTGCGGTGCAAGACACCGTGAAATTTGGTTTTGAAGGCGTTATGCTTTGTCTGACATGTTCTGGCGTACGAACATACTTACGTATTCATGCAGTAAAATACAAATGCATCATAGTAAATAAATAGCAAAGCAGATCTTTGTACATTTCTATGCCTCCTATTTCTATACCTTATATCATAAAAATTAAAATCTATGAAAATATATGCGAGGGCACTCCTAAAATCACTTTCAGAGCAAGGGATTATTTCTAAATGTATGCCAGAATTTCAAATTAAAATTCTTTTGAAATTTACAAAGATAAGACAGGTTTCATTTAAATAGTGTTTTAATGAAATGATCAAGACTGATTTATAAAGCAGTATAATTATATCTTTTAAACAGTGGTGCTTCTCAGATATCAGCTGATGATGGAATGCTGGCGAGCAGATCCTCGCAAACGACCGTCTTTCACTGAAGTACGAAAATCAGTCGAATCCCAATTGGAAAAAAGTGGTTCGTACGTCCAATGTGATGACTCATAGCGGTAAAATGATTGGAAAATGTTTGTTACGACGACGAATAGCGAAAATTTTTGACGACGCTTTCAGTCAATGACTCAGATCAAAGCCAGAAGGATATTATTACCGACGAAGGATTCACTTAAGGACAACAAACTAGCTTGAAGATCTAGCCATTTTTATGCTGGCATCATTTCATGTGACAAATTCGATGACGTGCCGGATATGAGTGATGCAATTTTACGACTGAATACTTAACGTTAATTTGTTTTGATTTTTGTACTATCATGTTTTTACTAAATTTTTTAGTCATTGCATACGGTAATTTTTTGTACGAGTAATTAATTTGATTTACTTTTTATTAACAGGAAGCCTTCTGATTCCACAGCCGGCGGCATTCAAGAAGAGCACAATTATATCAGGCGTTCGACGATGTGAATGGTAGGGACGCTCCATCATTAGGGTCACAATAAGAAGTAGAGGCAAAAGTAAACAGCTGTATATATCACTATCATTTTAGCAGTAACTATAACATGGATTTACTATCATTAAGCCAGATATACTCCTTTAATTTATTACACCACAGCAGACTTAATAATATTGCTCACATGTTCTAATCTAATAGTTCTTCCAGCTGCTGCACTGCCTATTCAGTACAGCGAATTACGGCCCAAAGAGAAGAATGAAAAGTTTTTACTTTTCTTCGGTGAGAACTGTTTACTCTCTGCACGAGCTTTGAGCGATAATACAATGCTTGGAAACACCTCGCTTAAACAAACTTCCTTCGAGGAGTAATATGGCTTATTACGTAGTGGCGAATGTTGTATGATATTAATTTTAAACAGTCTATAACGCTCTAAAAGCAGATCTGAGGTACTTTGTTGTTCAGGCTGTGTTAGCCTTACATGATAAGGACGCAAGAACAACAAGAGAACAGTAATGTTGTGTTTCATGCCGATTCAGTGTCCAGAGAATGTTTGTAGTATTAGTTTAACGTCTCCTGGTGCAGTGGCTGCAGACAGTAAAAGTTGCTGAAAAAAAATGATTTGGCAGCTGATGTTGGGGACAGATACCTTTCATCAGCGTTAAGTGAACGAAAGAAAGCTGCTCTTCTGCAGGCTATATGAATAACCAGTGTTCGTCGAGTTCCAGCCAAGAACATTTGAAAGATTTTAACATTGCATTGCGTATGTTTATGAATAAAATCTTTTGTCCTATCGATGTACCTCACTGAGCGACAAGATCCTTCTCATTCCTACATTCGTAACCGCTTGACATCTTCTCCCCAAGGTAACAAGGCTTGCAAAGAACAAATGATCACAAGTCAGTCAGCATTTTTAAAGCAATATTATAAATTTACAGCTAATCTGCGGCTTTCCTGGAAAGCGACTGCAATTCCAAAGCGCTGAAGGTAGTTAACGTGTTTTTCATCTGACTAGCATCAATTCGAAACTCGGAGTCTTCAGCACAGCCACTTTGGTGACGAGTAATTTTAAACAAAGTATCTGAGGAATCGTGCAGCCCACATGGCACCAGTTAGAAGCGAAAGCGAGTACCTTAATAAAGTGATGTTAAAAATAAAAAGAATAATAGAAGAGCATTGAAACAATTCACAATTATCTACGAGCAGCAATTTTTAAGCATATAATAGGTCATTTAAAGTTACAAGTTCAGCTACCGCTAGAGTCAGTACCGTACAGAGTTGTGCATCCATGAGATGTAGAAAATTTTTTTCATTAGCTAAATATTAAAGTAAAATAATACCCTGACTTACGTCAATTCGTAATTATTCCGATTCGTACCTAAGTCTCTGTATATTTTAAACAGATGAATAAATTTTAATTGAATTGGATTATTTTGGTCAGCTTATGCGAAGAACCTTACGACCGAGTCTTTTCCACATGAGCCCATGCATAGCCAATGGTAATCAGCAATTGTGCACTGCATCTGCGTAAAGTGTGGAGTATGTTTACGTCGTAACGTCACGTCAATATAAATTTCAAACTGCTGCCAATTTAATCTATTATGCCTTCAAAAAGAAACCAAACAACGTCTTCGTCTTAAACTACGAAAAGAAAATGCTGACTAGAAATCAAACGGGAAATTATTTAGCTTTTCGAACACGGATTAAACGCCTGCGACATGGTTATGAAAATGAACCTTGCTTTTTCCTTCAAGGGCAAAGAAAATATTCTCTCCGATGTGAAAAATGATTGATCACTCAATTTATCAGTTATTCGAAAACGTTATGGACTTGTTTCTGAAATGGAGACTTTACAAAATGTATGATAACCAGGTTAAAGTGAAGAGTTGTCCTGCTGATTAGAATAAAATATGCAACGAAGTCACACTGATTTTACAAAGGCTGAAGGAGGAATCTCGAAATTCTGAGAAGCATGAAACTTGTAGATAGCAATGGCTGCTTCAACGAATTTAAACACGCTGTGATAGGAACAACAGTGCAAAGACCAGGGAAGCGACTAGTGCCGATAAAGAAGTTGTTCCTTCTTTTCCTCAAGAACTGAAGAAAATGAGAGAGGATGGACAGTATTACTCAAAGACTACTGTTGACGAAACAGGCCTGTTCTGGAAAAGGACGCCTAGAAGAACGTATATAACTAGCGAGAAAAGAACGTCTCCTGGATTTAAAGCTACAAAAAATCGGCTCATAATGATACTCGGTGGGAATGCTGCCGGTAGTTGCAAACTGAAGCCACTTCTGACCTATCAGTCCGAGAACCCTAGAGCTCTGAAGTATTACTCCGAAGCTGGCCTTTCAGTGATATGAACATTAAACGCTAAGACACAGGTCACTGTTTCCGTCTTTGATGACTGGTTTAGCTACCATTTCATCCTTGAGGCCGAGCGCTATTGCTTCTCTCAGGTCCTATTTTTCAAAGTGATGTCACTTCGCGACAGTGCTCCAGGGATCATCCAGCAACAATGATAGACTTTGATCCTCGAGACAAAATTATGTTTATGCCTGCAAACACAACAAGTTTACTTCAACCAATGGACAAGGCTGTGATTAGAACATTTAACACTTATTAAACTTGATTCTTTGCCCATTTAAATGAAACTATGACACAAAACAATGAGATGGATGTGAAAGAATTCTGGAAGGATCTTAATGTTTTGGACACACCGAGGATCATCGCATACTCGTAAGCTGAAGTTTCTGAAAAAACCATGAACCAATGTATGGAAAAGGCTTTGTACATTCTTATTTAATCAAAATTTGATCACGGTTCCAGAAATTCATCAGGTTTCTAAT